TTTTTTTTTTTTTTACTTTTTTTTTTTTTATTTTTTGTTGATGTTAGTAAAAGAGAACTAAAAAGGCAAAGCAGCAAAAAAATAAAAAAAAAATAAAAAAAAATTAAGTAACAGAAAACAACAGAATCAGTCAGCCAGTAATATCGACAACAGTCATCAGCAGCAAAATAGAAGACGACGAAGAAGATGATAAAGGCGATAAATAGTGGAAATGATGGAGAAGAAGAAAAAGGAGGACAATAAAAAGAAAGAAGAAGAAGAACAAGAAGAAGAAGATGGAACGAAAAAAAAAAAGCAACAAGCACAAATATGGCAACAACCTGTACTATCAAAAATTGCTATAGATTAGTTGAGTCTAAAAAAAAAAAAAATGAAGTGCTTTTTCATCATTTGAAAATGCTATTAAGACTTCAAAATTTGATCATTAAAAAAGGCCAAAAAAAAGGTTGTGAAGTGCTTTTTTTTTCCACACCCATTGTATTCATGCATTATCTTTAGTCTAAATTGATATCAACAGCAATAGTATCAATCAATTTTAAGCTGTTATTATCATTGCAGTTTTAAATAAAAAAAGAAAAGATGATCAAGTAAAGTATTACTAACAGTTTTTTTCTACTTTTTTGTTTTATAGCAGTATACTACCAGTATGTTTTGTTACTACAGTGTTTTGCTGTACAATCATTTAAGCTGATCAAGTAATCAAGTATCAGCAGCACCAGCATTAGCACCTGCAGCAGCAGCTCTTTCTTAACCTTGCCCTATTGTAGATATAAATTTTACTGTAAAAGCTGATAAGTTATTATCAAATGATCACATGAACAAAAATCGCAACTTAAAGATAGCAACAAATTAGGACAAATAAGCAACAGGTGTATGGTTTAAGTGAAACTATCACTGTACTATAAATTCCTCCTGTATTCAGATATCAGTCGCTAGTACAGTAATATGTTGGTCTGCATATAGTGTTCATCTGTCTTCATGGTTTTTTTTTTATCAGTCTAAGATTTAGTTTAAAATAAATCGATGCATTTGTTTACCGTTTTAAAAAGTAACCAAGTAACCAATAGTATAGTGATGATAAAATTTAAAACAAACAGTTAAATAGCATTTTTTTTTTGCTACCGATCGTAAAGTTTCATTGTTCGGAATAAATTTTAAATGCTGAATATTTTCTGTTTTATTGTTGTTATATTGTCCACTGTATCATCAGCAATCTGAAACAATGTTGTTCCGTTACAATTTGATGCTTTACTGTTCCAGTCTGTGATCAATCTCAGCATGTTGTTTATCTTAAGAAGAAGAAGAAAAAAAAAGAAGAACTTAATTCTTGCAAAAATGAATTTCTTTTACCATTTCTTCATTGCTTCTTTTCCACTTTTCCATTCATTCACTTGGAATTTTTGTTTTTATTTTATTTTTTTCAATTTTTTTTTTCAGAAGAAGCATTACCGTTTCAATTAGTTTTTTTTCTGTTCTTTTTTTTTGGCTTGCTATTTTGTTGCTGCTGGTGGTTAATGTTGCTATCGGATACAAATGTTTTGACGGCAACACCGAAACAACAACAAAAAAAAAAAGCAGCTTTTTTTAATGCGTATTTATTCGCTGAATGAACAACCTGATTATTTTTGAAGGAAAATTTGAAAACGAGAGAAAAGGAGAAAGAAGAAGGCCACAGAGAGAGACAGGGAGAGAGCGGGTTGGGAAAAGGAGATGCGGGGGGAAAGGAAAGGGAGGAAGGGGGAGGGGGAGAAGAAGGCAACTAAACGAATATTCTTTGGTATGATACATTTTTTTTTTCAGCAAATACCCACTGTAAGTGAAAGTAATGGAAACAAACCTCATTGGAAACTACTAAACTAAACTTTACTCTACGACAATAATAATAATAATGATAATGGAGTTGCAGAAGGTGACGCA